GCTCTGAAGGCCTTTTTCTTGTTTCATCTCTCTGCTGGAGCTGAGACTTGCAGTTTATCACTTCTTCATTTTATGAAAGAGGAGTCTTCCTTTTACAACTCAGCTTCTTGCTCACATCATTAGCCTTACTTCAGGCTACTCCCTAAGGCTCCACTTCTTCAAGGTTGGTGATCCAAAACCTCTGAATGGGAGCTTCCACTTCAGGAACACACTTTTCTGAATTATGCTCCATTTCCAAATGTTCTTGCACCTGTTTTGCTCTGATTAGCTCTCCTTTGAATTCTGCAACTTGATATCTTCTGGTGATGAAACATGGGTGAAACTTCCCTCAAACACCCAGTAAAAAACTCCCCCCCCCAAAAAAAAAGCAATAGCTGGTTTTTTTACGTCAAATAAGTTCCTTCACTGGCAGTTAAGAAGGATGCTTAATGAAATGCAAATGAAGCAAATTGGGATGCTCTATTCTTTGGTTTGGTTGACAGTGGATTCACGTGCTCTAGCCTTCAGCATTCTTTACTTCTGCAAAAAACTTCTCTAAGTGCTGCTTCTGCCCCAAGGCAGCCAAACCAAATTACACTTACCCAGTTCTATAGTTTCTGGCATTGGTCTTCCCTGTTTTACAAGGAAGTCTAAGTCTTCCCATGCCTAATCCTTGTTTTACAGTCATGGTCACAGATCAAAAAACTGTTTATTTGAGAAGAAAATTGCATTTGCAAATCAAGTACTGTCCAAATCACCAAGTCTGATGCTCCAAAAACTTACGAGCACATTCTGTTTCCCTTCTGTGAAGCAGACTGCAAGAATTTTTGTCTCATTCTTCTATCTCTCTCCCCACCTTCAGTTTCTGAAGAACTTTCATCAGGATGCTTCTGGCTTCCAGCTCTGGGACAAATACTCCAATACAACAATATACTGCTTTCACTCTGATAAATCCACTGTTCTGCCAACCACCTCAATGAACTTTCTCCAGGCATAAATATCCAGGATCATTTGGCCATTTTCACTTTCTCCATGGGGTAAAGAATAAGGGAAGAAGAAGAAACGTGCTTTCTTCCAGTTCTTTTCCATGGGCTGAAAAACAAACTAGGATAGATTCCTCACATAAAGCTGTAGTCTCAAGACCTTCCCAGCACAAGATTTTACAGCAATTAGAGTTCCATGAGAGCAGCTCCACCAGATCACTGTAAATGCAAGTAGCTGTGAGTTTCCCCCATATCCCCTATCCTCATGCCCTTACACTTCTGGCCCAACTGATACAGTTGATGTCACTCCTGAATAAGGTGTAAACTTCCACTGGTTCTCTAAGCAGCATCTTTTGCCTCTCTTTCCTCTTGATGGAAAAACTCTAATCTTATTAACTGCAACAGCTGTAAATAAGTGCTGTTCCAAAGCAGTCGCACATGGCCTGGGCTAGCCCTGCCTTCTTTTAACTTGGAGTTCCAAGAACAATAATTCTCACCCAAAGTCCGTAAATCCTTCTGTTATTTAGCTCAGCACATTCAAATTAACTCATTCCCCTAAAATACCTCTTTTTGATAATGGGTTTCACACACTTCCTTTTCAGGCCAGTCTCCTACTCCTCCTCCCTGAGTGTCAACAGTCTCTTCAACCATGTTTTGAGATTTCCACATTCTTTCTTGGATTTTGTCCTGAGTTATTCATCTTAATAGTTCTCCTGGACTCAGCCTGGAACCTCCCTTTAAGTCATTTGCTCAGTCATCTAATCATACCCTTAATCCTTCCTGCCCAGATCTAACCCCAACCAGCTATCTGAGCCAGAAGAAAGAAGAAGCCCTGCCCTATCTATTACACATTCCTGCTCCCATGCCCTTACAGGAATAATGGCATGGAATTTCCTAGATCATCTTTCCTGATAATAATTGTTCCCCCAACAACCTTTTTTTATCCCTTAGTAATGTTGATAATGTTTTTGCCATTTCTGCCTCCCTTTAAAATGTATGGCTTCCTAAATGATCTCCTTCAGCCTTCTCAGATGCAGATACGCTGACAATGGATTTTAGGTTTTCATGAAGAGGTGTTTAAAAAGACTGTCAAAGAAGAGAAGAAGAAAATGTGTATTTTAAATAAATTAGCAAGAGTAAAAACACATTTAAGTATTGCTAAGGCTGAAAATATATTTGAATAATAAATATGGAGGAAAAGGCAGACTGTTGTTAACCATACAAGATTAAGCACAAAGCCAAAACAAAACAGAACAAAACAAACAAACAAACAAAAAAAAAACCCCAAAAAAACCAAAAAAAAAAACCAAAAAAACCCACCAAAACAAGAAGAAAAAAAACTCCAAGCCCAATCGCAATTGCTTTGGATAGAATGCTTAATACTAAAATCTGTGACATATTAAAAAACAAACAAGCAAACAAAAGAAACAGGATTTATCAGATATCTTTTTGACCTCAGAAAGGGTTGGCTGCTTTTTAAACATCACAGAGCAAGGTGGAAAAAGACCAAATCTTTACTGCATAAAACTGAAGCAACACAGTACTCAGTGGGATATTCTGGCAGTTACATACAGTCCCATCACAGGACTATGGGACAACAGAGGAAAACATCTGCTGGCAAGACAATCTATTTGTGCATGGAGATCAGAGAGAAAGACAGATCTAGGCATCCAACAGAAGATGGAAGCAAGTATTGGAGAACAAATAATTTTGGTTTTATATGAATGAGAAGCCTTTGTGTAGGAGTTGTAGTGGGAATAAAATTTCTTCACATTTCATTGTGTAATTTTGCTGTGTAGTAGTGTTTCAGTATGATTTATTGTGTAATGCTATTGCATGGCATCATTTCTTGAGCAACTTTGCTGCGTGGTATAGTTTTTTATTTAATGATATTGAATGTTAGGCAATGGTCTTGCATGCCATAATTTGTGTTGGCTGTTGAGCAACATCACTGCCACTCTTGACACAAAGGTGAATTCACACAACAGCGTGAAATTCATGATCTTAGCGCACATTCACTCAAAGATGACAAATGGATACAATACCTTGTTCTGAATGAAGACACATGCAGAAAAGCTGCAAACTGAGAGAGTATTTTAGCCAAACTTTGACATTAAAAGATGATTTTATTAGATAGCAATAATGGCACTTTCTTATCCAGAGCTACATGGTAATTGCATGATATGATGCTACATTTCACATACCCACACCTGGTCGTAAGTACAGCAGGACCTTGTTTTTACAGACTGCTGGGTATAAACAAGGGTGGTAATATGAGTACAATGTGACTTAGGCTCTGTCCAAAACTGTCTTTGCATGGAACCACGAAATTCAGAACACGAACAAAAACTCTCAGTCTCTTATGCCAAATGCAGTTAATGCACTTCATTATAGAGGATTCCTGCATTAACAGCAACGCTACTGATCTTAGTGTAATAACTTAAAAGTTTTGCATAGGATTAGCAAGGACTTGAGCATGCTCTACAAGCATCACAAGAACATCCTACCACTTAAGGTGCTCTTAAGTAGCGAAAGAGGAAACAAAAGTTTGCTCAACATGTAGTGCCAATGTAAGTAACTTATCTTTACCTTCCTTAGACAAACTTCATTTTTTTCATACTTCCCTTCTTTTCCTTACAACACACATAGTCTGTATACAGATTTAAATAAAGCATTTGAAGTTCAGGAAACATACGAGAACTTGAAACTCTCTTCCAAACAAAGCAAGTAAGGATATAAGGATATCAACTTAGTAACCATATTTGTATTTACATCCACCCAAAAATGCTCTTAATGGGCTGGAATGCATTACCTGGGAACCTACAAAAACTGTATGCAGCAAGAGGCAGAGCAGGCACTGACAGCTGACAACTTACTGCTGCTGCAAGCATTTTCATTTGATCTCATATTCTCACAGGCTGCAAGTAAAGACGAAACGAATATGCATATAGGTTTAATAATTTTTAAAATACGGTAAGACCCAGTGGATAGACTGGGAAGGCAGCTCAGGAGAAAAAAAGCAAGCCTCTGCACCTATGACATAAGATCAGTTTGTTATTTGGCAGATGGCAAAACAGAGGGGGGCAGAGAAGCAACGACTGCTGATGCAGTATGAGCTCCCGGCCCAAACCAAGGCTGCACGCTTCCCGTTAGCAGCCTGCCAGAAACATTTGCTCCAGAGTGCTCCATGCAATTGTAGGCTTACATCTAACTAGTCTAGAGCTCATCACTGTGCAGTCAACTAAAACACGATGGAAACATCCAGAGAGGTGCTATTGTTCTGTCAGCTGCGCAGGCCCACTCATGGCAGCAATGAACAGAAACTCTACTCCACTCGTTTCACTGACCAGCTTGAGGCCGCCATTGACACGCAGCAGTACCTGCAGAGCTACCTGTCAGCTGGTGACTTACTGCCTCATCTGCTGCCCCCATACCGACTCTCAAGGCATTTCCTCTTCCTTCAGCATCTTCCATGCTGGGTGTCAATATGAAAACTGAGCACACTGAAATCGGAATACAGCAGAACGACCCCCGACGCACTTAATACAAAGCGAAACGCTGCCGCAGCGATGGTAACAGCCATTTCCTCGCCGAATCGCTGAACTCCACCATTTGCAAAGCGCGAGGGATGCTGTCAGAGGGCTCCCGGCTGCCGCGCACATCCCGGGCCGCCGGAGCTCCGGAGGAAACCGAGGGACCCCAGAAGAACGCGGCCGCCCGGGGAGGTTCCGCTGCAAGGTTCGCGGCCAGAGAAGCGGCACCCCCGGCCCGCAGGCAGCCCTTCACCTCGCGGCTTCGAGACCGCCCGTGCCTCGGGGGATTAAAACGGATCGCGAACCCCCGCGCCTTCAGAGGACGCGCCCGGGCACCCCGGCAGGAGCCGGTCCCGACCCCTCGGCCGCGCCGCGTCGCCGTGGCAACGGAGCCATTTTGAGCGCGACAGTGCCCGCGGGCGGGGGGCGCGGAGCGTCGATGGCGACGGCGGCGCTGCAGCGGGGGCTCGGGGCGGTGGGCGCGGGACACGGCCTGGCGCGTTACCTCGGATGCTCCAGGTCCAGCGGTAGAACTCGAGCGTGTCGTTCAGCACGCTGGACACCAGGCCCGCGGCGCGGGGGGGCTCGGCGGCGGCGGCACCCATGGCGAGCAGCAGCAGCAGCGGCGGAGCCGGCAGACCTGTCCTCGGTGCTTGCGTCCGTGCCTCTGCGCCGGGGCTGCTGCTGCTGCTGCCCTTCTACAGCCGGGGATGTGATTTAAATCTCTATCTCTCGGTATCTTCCCTCTAGACTCCGCCTCGCTCCCGTCACCGGCTCCCGTGCCCCGCGGGCAGGGAGGAGGGCGAGGAGGCGGAGGCGGGCGGAGAGGAGGCGGGGGGGCGCGGCGCAGTGGCCGCGGAGCATCGGTCCCTGCGCGCAGGCGCACGGCGGCCCCCGGCTGCGGGGAGCAGGTGCATGGCCGGGATGGGCGGCCGCGTCTCGTCTTGCCTTTCTTTTTCTTTCTCTAATCGATCGTTTTTTTAACTGGTCGGAGGAATAAATATGTCATTCAGCTTTTACTTTCTTTATCCCGTCTTTCTCCTCTTAGGATCATAAAGTCGTTAATGTTGGAAAAGACTGCTAAGATCGTCTACTTCAACAGTCAGCCCTCCTCCACCGTGCCTGCTAACAATGTCCCTCAGTGCCACATCTACGCATTTCTTGCTTAGGGGCAGTGACTCCACCACCTCCCTGTGCAGCCTGTTCCAATACTCCTTACTGAGGCACTTGTGTGAGCCGTACCCACTCCCCCTCAGGTTGCTGGCATGAAGGTGTGGGCCTTACAGCTTTCCCCAAGAAAGCTCACCATTACTCCAAGAAACCTCACCATCATCCCATCCACTGCTGATGGGCTGTTGGTGGCACTGCCGTAACAAAGCAGCACACCCACACTTCTCTGCCTGCCATCAAAGCATGTCTCCCACCCACATGCCTCGTCCACCTCTTCCCCAAGAGCTTTTATGGTTATTTCTTGGCTCAGAGGGGTTTGCCCACCCAGTCTATCTCTGAAGGCTGCAGAAGAAGCTCCTATGGCAAAGGCTGGTGAGACTGTTCTGCACCCAGCACTTCAGCCCAAACAAACAAGCTCTCTGCCTGATGTGGGTGCACCAGATGTTCCTGACACCCTTTCCTTCTTATCTCCTGCCAACTTGTCTCTCTCTCTCCTATGATCCACGTAGCGTAGATGACATGCTTGGGAATGGTTTCCTCACTGAGGGACTGGAGGAGAGCTTCTCCGCCCGTGTTGCGAGCTTTTCCTTCTGGCAGACAGTAGATCAGATGGTATCTACCTCTTCCTCCCCCAGTACACTGTTACCATGTGTCACTTGTCACTTGGTCTCTGTGAGCATGGTTTGCACTCCTCCTGCCTGGGTGAGTCACCATCAACTTGGTTCCTGTACTGCCTTGGCAGCTGTGGTCCCAGTGTTATGGATGAGAGAGGCATGCTAGCCATTGCTGTCTTCCCCATGATGAGGTCTGTTGCCTTTGCAGCTTGGATGCCAACAGCTGTTTGAGAGTTGGGACTGCGTGCTCTGGAGAGAGAAAGAAGAGATATATCAACTCCTGGAGGTCTCGATCGTGATGGCAGCCTGGTTTATCCCACTGCTGCTTGAAAGTTGGAGCTGAAGCAAGGTTGCCATATACCAACCTGTATGGACAGCTACTTTTCTCATGAGGAAAAAGTCAGTCAAAATTCTGCGTAGACGATACTGACTTTGATTATGTTCTATTCTGATGGTGCTGATCTCTGCAGAAGGCCTGGTGGAAGCTTTGAAGTGGATCTGTCAGTGAGTAGGGCACAGAAAACACCAACCTGCTTCCCAGCTTGCAGGAAGGCAGCAAAGTGTTTGCTGTTGTTCCTGTGCCGCCTTCAGGTGAAACTGCTGCAGCTTATTGTCGAACAGTTAGAAACTTGTGTGTTGGGCATCACCTAAAGCAAGGATTTGGATTTTCTTTAATGTTATCTCTTAAATCAAAAGGAAACCAGAAGAACAAGTTGTGATCCTCACACTGGCATTTATCTTGAATGAATGTTTGAAACAGAATGGGCTACTGAATTACGCAGCATCCCAAAGATGAGTCCCCTACTATCCCTGATATCAGGCAAGATGTGAATTGAGCACAGTGCACTGGCACAGAGAGTAAAGAACCACAGCCTACCAAGGAATAAAAAGGAACAAGGCATATTAGCAATATTAATACATGTTCATAATAGCTATTATTTGTATTATAATATAGATATGCCTACTTTGTTATTAGAATGATTATATATTTATTCCATGAATGTATTTTTGCACAATTAACATGAAAAAAATAATTATAATATAAGAAATATTTATATGATACATTTCAGAGCTTCATCTATTTAATTTTAAATGCATTTTAATTTGTTGCAATTGCTTTCTTTGTATTAGCAATATGATTGCACATACACAACTTTACAAGGCAATTAAGCCTTGAAAAACAGCAACAACAGAACTACAGAGAATGGACAGCAGGGAGAAGATGATCACTCTGATCAGAGTAACTTCCCTTGTGCTTGAAGGACTGACACTGGCTAAAAGATGTAATTTCATATATGGCTAACTATTCTCACTAGTTTAACTTTCAACCTGAGAGAATGCAAACACGGTTTTAAAATTAGGTCTGGGTCTGAAGGCATCCAAACACACCTCAGCTTGTTTCCTGTGTTTGTGCACCCAGCTAGATGTGCTGGCTCTAACACAGGTGAGAACAATGTCCTCCCCTTAGAGGAGAAGGAGGAAGGCAACCAAAGTCAGAGCATCAAAGTAACATGCAAGGAAATCTGCAAAATGGTAGTCAGAAAAAGATGGCTTTTTAATACCATTAATTGGCCAGTTCTGTCATCTTCTACTTGGTACCTATGTAATCCACACATTCCTAAAACCTGACATCTCAGATGAGCAAATTTCTTCTTGGAAAAGGAAGGCCTGTTTCACTCAACCCCAAAGGAGTGGATGAATGCCCAGCTAAGCTCCAGCCACTTGTCCAGCACTTCAGGATACTTGTGCTGACAGCAGGAGAGCCAGATTGCTTCAGGAAAGGTGCAAAAGGTGACAGGAAGTTGTGGGATAGCTAGCTCCAAGGAAAGTCTCCTCCCAGCTGCTATTAGAGGCATGCTTATACCCCAAGACACAAACTTTTTATTCCTTCCAGACCTTTCTGCTAAAAAAAAACCAATGTGATATTTCAGAACTTTCAAGCCATTTTCTCCTTCTTCATGATAAAAATGGAGAACAATATAAATGTTACCTTGGGAGAAACACCAGAAACATCTGGGGAGGAACATTGTCAGGCACCAGTATGTGCTGCGGACCACGCAGATAAAAAAAAGCTCTATGAAAAAGCCTGGCAGACACCAAGCTAAACATGAACCAGCATTGTCACAAAGAAAGTTAGTGGCATTATGGACTTCATTAGGCAAAGCATTGCTAGCATGTCAGAGAAGGTGATCCTGCTCGGCACTGGAAAGGCTAGACATGATGTGCTGTGGCCAGTTCTGGGCTCCCCAGTAATACAGAGACATAGACATACTGAAGAGAATCCAGTGTATGTCCACTAAGATGATGAAGAGTGGAGAATCTCTCCTACAAGAAAAGGCAGAAAGAGCAGAATTGCTCAGCATGAAGGAGATCCAGAATCTCATAAATGCCTGTAAATACCTAAAGGGAGGGTGCAAACAAAATGCTCTTTTCAGTGGTACCCAGGGATAGGAAAAGAGGCAAATGGGAATACAGGAGGTTCCCTCTAAATGTCTGCAAACACTTCTGCACTGTCCAGGTGACTGAGCACAGGTTGTACTTTTTGGAGATCTTCATAAACTACCTGGACACGGTCCTGGACACCCTGCTTGAACAGGCCTTAGACCAGATGGACCCAGAGGTCCCTGCCAATGCAAAACCTTCTGGGATTCTGAGATTCTGTTTCAAAGTCCAGACGATCAGTGATCATGAAAAAGCATTTTTTCACATTCATGAATTTCAGGGAAGTATGTCCTATTGCAGTATTTGATGAATGAGCAAATGCTGCGGCAATTATCAAATGTTTTCAGACTTGAGGTTCACTTCAGGTTAGCAGTGAGTTTGTTGTGAGGGGAAAGTGACATACAGATGTGCTGGATAATCTTTATGAGGTATATGAGGAAGAATGCAGATGGAACTTCGTGTGTTGTCACCAGTGATTTCCTCCAGATAGCTCACCAAAAGATATAAACAGAAGTGAAGAGCTTTCCTTAGCTACAAAGAAAATCATAATAACCAAGAACTTTGCCAGTGGGGAAAAGAGTCATAAGAGTCATTGAATCAATTTTGATATATCTACATGTTAGGCCATGCGCAGGATACAACTCACTCATTTACCAGTAAAGAATGTATACAAAATATTTTATGTGTAAAGCATAGCCAAACTAAAATCGTTCAAAAAACCTTAACTTCAGAAATATGTGTGATTTACATATTTTAAATACTGAACTGTCATATTTCTCCTTTGATTTCGTAAGTGTTTTAAGAGGGAAAAACTGAAATAAATCAGCAAATACAGAATTTCCATACAAAGCCTGTTAATTTGTATGCTCCTTGCATCAAAGCCTTCTTGTGAAGATGGCTAGCTATGCCAAATAAGCCTCTCTGATCTTTGAATCAACAAGTACAGAATTCAATATTTGCTTATGCAATAGCACAGCTGCTATCTGCTTCAATACAGAGGCTGGTTTAAGGCCTTTTGTATACTATACAAGTTTAAAGAGACAATTTTTAAAACAACCGTAATTTTTTAAAATAACATTAATACCAACAATGTCTCTTTCAACACTAATTAATTTTGTTTGTTAATTAATAACAAACATTGCTACATCTATAATTTGAGGTGGGGTAACAGGGATTTCACAGCTTTTATGAAGGGAATCGTCAGTTTCAGGATCTGAAATGTGTTCAGCTTTTTGTATTCTAAAGTCTGCTTAATGCCATCTGCCCTCTTGCAGATTTTACTGCTTCAAAACAGATTTTTCCAAAGCAAATATATTGGAGTGATGTATTGGAGAAAGTATCAAGAGATGTTAGTACTCAGTGAGGACTTTGGCCAAAAT